TGTCTGTGCAGGGAGGAGTGTCAGCATATGTCTTTGCCATTAGAATACAGGCAGACTGTGCTCCTAGCACAGCTAGAAAACTAACTGTGCTGGGATGGATATGCTCTCATGCCTAGCACTGTCAGTTTGAAATAGGAAAGCAGGGAGACTGTCAGGATCACCAGATATTTCACACAAAGAAAGAAGTACAAAATAACAGGATACTTTTATCACAAGTACATGATACAACAGACACAACTATTGCAGTAATACATTCTTTAAAATGTAGAGCTGTCAGGGCAGGGAAATGAGCATGGGACACTGGTGGGACAAGGCTAAAGAGGAGAGGGAATATATCACTGGAAAGTTGGAGCCTGGAGGGGGCAGTGAAGGAATGGGACAGTACTCAAGGGCAGGGGCGGACTGACCATTTGGAAACTCAGGCACTGCCTGAGGGCCCGGGGTCAGTAGGGGTCCCCATGAGATGCCCCTGGTACCTTTTTCAGAGGCTTTTTTGAGTTTGGGCAAGGACACAGGGGCCCCATGATCCCCTATTGCCCAGGGGCCCCATGAGTTGTCAGTCCGCCCCTGCTCAAGGGGGATATATGCAGGGCTGGAGTGTAGAGGGGGTGAATTGAGTGATAAAGATGGAAGGTTAAGGCAGTCATTAGAGATTGTAAAATAAGCTGCCGGTTGAGAACACAGAACGGGATCACTGCAGGAGGCAGAATCCTCCAGTGGCAAAATTGAAGTTGAAAGTGCTCCTATAACTCAGTCACCCACTGGCAAAATGGAAGTAAAAATTAATTATTGTGTAGTTACGGAGATGAAGAAAAAGTAGCACTGAAAAGAACAAAAGTAGGTTTAAAGCACATGTAAACCCAGGAATATAAAAGTTATATATTGTGGCTTACCAACCCTTAGATGTAGTGGCTGCATTAATTTTCTATTTTCTTTTAGGATTTTTTTCATTATTTTTACCTGGAATAATAAAGATAAAACTTTCTTTCTCATTTACCGAGGGACACAGGAAGACATTCACCTGTAAAACCTCTAAAAAAACCCTGTAGGCCAGTCCAAAATGCTGCCTCCTACTCCTGGCATGCTAAATTTCTAGCAAGATTTCTTTTCTTCAGCTCAGCTAGAAAAAAAATCTAACAGTTTTTACCAACATTCTTTTCACTTCATTTGTTACTTTGTTACTTACCTCTAGTATACAGTTAGGTTACATAAATTTATGCTGACCGTAGTCATGTGAGTCTGGGTGATTATTGTGGGTTCAGGTGTAGATCAGGCTGGAAGGCTCTGCAGATAAGGCCTCTGTCGCCTCTCTCTGGTTCTGGAGGTCCATGCAAACGTCTAGAAACTAGTGGAGGGAGCTGTAGAGGCAAGGATCTGTATATTTGTGGGAGTTTGACCAATCCCCAGGCAGGAGGCTTGGCAGGGTGGTAAGATGGGCCCATAAATATTGAGGAGCCTGGCCAGTGAGTGTAGTGTGTGGCTGGGTGAAAAATAGAGCCCTGAGGGTCTTAAGGCGAACATAAGGTCATAAGGAGGGGACCCCAGGGAAGAGGGGTTCAGCCTCCAGGCTGGAGCTGTGGAAGGAAAGGATCTTTACTACCCTACAGACTTATCCAGGAAGATTAGCACAGCAGAATGTCTAAACAGCAGTCTTATCCAAAGCAGCAGGATACAAGGGACAGTGTGAGTACATCTATACCACCATGGCCTACAAGGTAGAAGGCTGCCAGATGCAATATCCAGCATGCTTTCATTGGGAAAGTGTCACAGCTAACCTAAATCCCTTGGTCTAGAACACTTTACAAGGCAGCCAGGAATTTTTGTAAGTTTCACCCAGGGGACATAGAGCTCCTAAAACAGGAAAATTGCTATTGATCTTTTGGAGACTGATGTTAATCCAGAGGGAGCAAAATCCAGGATCTGCATTTTTGTGTATATAGAGAAGGACGTCTATTCCCAAATTGTTCTGGCAAGTCAACTTGGGCATCCCATAGTCCCTTATCCCCATCCAAGTTGTTTACTCTCATATAAAACAACAAAAACAAGCCCATGGAATGATTACTGACTCCATGAGAAAGTTGGAAAAATGTGTGTTGCCTGGCTGTGCAGTCAAATGGGGACCAAAAATCCAGCTGCTCCTTAGTGGTTAGTGCTACACTTCAGTCAAGATATTCACTACATCACTACTTGAGCTGGTCTTTTCAATATGAGCTATCCAGTTCTGCCTTTCCGCAGCTTAGCTTTGGAGTGCTGTACTCAGATCTGGTTGCACTGGATGTTGCAGTGCTAGCCTGGAACTGACCTTCGGGCACTGGTATCACGTACCTGGTGATGGAGGCCAATGGAGAGAGGGCTTCCCTTGCGGCTAAGTTCCAGACTCCCCTGAGAGTGGGACAGCGGGAGTCAGGCCCAAAGTGGCATAGGTCGCCTGTAGGAGTGCTGGTTGGTGGTCCACCCAGAAGCACAGCTGATGTACGGAGATAGGTCTGCAGACAGGTGGTGCCTGTGCGAGGTATGCAAGCCCTTCCGGGATTTAGAGATTTACTGGATAGCCAGTTCAAGCCAAGGTCAGGTACCAGGTGGGAATCAGAGCAGACATAGTCAGATGGGATAGGTCATACACAGAGGAGCAAGAGAGAGAGTATCCGTAAGCCCAGCCGAGGTCAGATCAGGGGTCAAGCAGAGTAGACAGGTCCAAGAGCAAGCCGAGTCGGCACCAGTAAATTACAATAACACAGGAAACAGGAACAAGGCATGGGGAGCTAGAGATCATTCAGCAACTTGAGGAAGTGCTGAGCCTCCTTATAAAGGCCGCCTGGCACCAAACTGAGGCCAATGTGTGCTTCTGCGGCCATGCAGGGTACTGGCAGAAATGCCAGATCTTCCAGAACTTCTGCCGTGGACAGGACCCTGACAACTGGTTTCCGCGTAAGGTGCTTTCCAAACTCTATTCTAGAAACAAGTTAGGCATGGAGTTCTTTCCAGGTCAAGAGCTGTTTGCATTACATCCGTGCTTGCCTGATAAGACTGAGCACCTGGAGCGACCTCATGATTTAGTTTGCTGGGTGCCTTCAAACACCTGTTTTCCCCTAGTTCTTACAACAGAAGGGGATTGAGAGCTGCATCATCCGTTGGGGGGGGGGGGGGGTAAAGAATGCATACACTCCATGCTCCCATTCCTCAGCTCGCTATCAACTAGTGGCTTCGGTGCCGCCTGCAGGTTACCTACTGATGAGGTCAACATCTTCAGCCTGCAATCTTCCCGTTTTATGCTCCTGGAGTCTGTGTCATATTCAAAGCCTTCCCTGGCTTTGTCCAGCATGAAGTCCGCGAACATTTTAACTTAAAGTGGTAGTAAACCTTTACATATACCCAGTGAAGTGACTGGCCTTAGGTAATATACAGAGATGAAGCAAATCTTCCTACATTACTGTATTTGTACCTGTCTATCTGAATTCTCCTCTTCTCTACAGACATTCAAAGTGCACAATGTATTCAGCTTCTGAGCTTTCAGAAAACAGGTAGCAGAGATCTGAAAGTACACACTGCAGAGCTCAGTGAGGAGAGATATGAGAGCTGATTGAGAGCTTGACGGTTTCCCAGGCACTCCACATCACCCCGATCTATGGCAAAGTAACTTCTGGTACTTCACCTTAGGTCTCCATCCCTTCCTTTATGCATCTCGTCATATGTGACATCATCATTCATAAAGTGTTTTGCATTATTCTGCAGTGTATACATTCCCTTTGCCATTCTGACCCTGGTTTGAGTGACAAATTACTCAGCCATGGAACACTGTACCCATATGGAATTTTTATCCATTTTTATCCTCTTTTGAGACAGATAGAGCTTTCTTTTGTGGTATTTGATCACCACTGGGTTTTTAATTTTTTACTATATAAATGAAAAAATACCGAAAATTTTGAAAAAAAAAAAAATTATGATTAGTTTTTGTTATAAAATTTTGCAAATAGATAATTTTTCTTCATAAATTTAGGCCATAATGTATTCTGCTACATTTTTGGGGCATAAATAACCCAAAACAGTTTATATTATTTAGTTTGTGTGAAAGCTATAGAGCAGTGGTGGCGAACCTATGGCACACGTACCGTAGCAGGCCCTCTCTGTCGGCACACGAGCCAAGTCACCCCAGCATCAGCTCAGCAGCCGAGCATCGGATAACAGCGCACATGGGGGCCATGCGCATGCTCAGAAAGGAGTAGCTGCGCCAGGCGATGATGTCACAAGGCGTAACTCATTAGCCGAGACTCATCTGAGCTTTCGCATGGCCAGTCAGTGCACTGCCAAGGATATATATATTTGGACTAGCTTTAATACATTCATTTTTATTAACACAAGATTTTAGCTTGTGCTGATGGTTAGTGGAACTTTGCCCCCTTGTGCTGGTGGTCAGTGGAACTTTGCCCCCTTGTATTGGTGGTCAGTGGGTTGTTTTTTCTAAACTAAAACCTCAGTATTCAAGTTTAATTGCAGTGTTTGCACTTTGCAATAAATAAGTGGGTTTTGGGTTGCAGTTTGGGAACTTGGTCTTTAAAAGGTTCGCCATCACTGCTATAGAGTCTACAAACTATGGGATATATATTTTAGAATTGATCAGTTGAGATCCTAAAATTCCGGACACTGGAATGGCATATGGCAGTGATCAGGACGCTGGCATGGGGTATGGCGGGGATCAGGATGCTGGTATGGCAGTAGCCAGCATGCTGTTATGGGGTTGATCAGGATGCTGGTATAGGCTATGGCAGTGATGGAAATGCTGGTTTGGAGTATGGCAGTGATCAAAACGCTGGCATGGGGTATGGTCGTGATCAGGGTGATGGTATGAGGTATGGCAGTGATCAGGATGCTGGCATGGGGTATAATGGTGATCAGGGTGATGGTATGGGGTATGGCAGTGATCAGGACGCTGGTATGGGGTATGGCAGTGATCAGGATACTGGTATGGCATATGGGGTGATCAGGATGATGGTATGGAGCATGTTGGTGATCAGGATGCTGGTATGGGGTATGGTGGTGATCAGAATGTTGGTATGGTGTATGGAGGTGATCAGGGTGCTGGTAGGCATATGGCAGTGATCAGGGTGGTGGTTTGGGGTATGGCGGTGATCAGGACATTGGTATGGTGTATGGGGGTGTTTTGTGTGCACTGGGACAGGTGGCATTATTTATTATTGTTATTGTGGGGCAGTGATCAGGGACACTGGGGCACTAAACTGGGGCACTGGGGTGGCTGGCACTGCAGTGTGTTAGTGTACAAGCAGACTGACAGGCTTCTATACACACACACTGCAGGAATGCTTCTCTCTGCTCTCACACTGAGAGCAGAGAGAAGCAATTTTTACTTTCAGTTTCCAGAGTTTACTATGTGAGTTCTGTGATTAGTCACAGCAGTCACATGGTAAAACACCATGGGTGACACACCGATTACTGGGCTCTGGGGTGCATGCTCTGTGAGCCGCGCGCGATCCATCAATGCGGGCTGCCATACAGGAATGTTAGCCTGCATCGGCACTGTTTCCCAACTGCCGTCTATGTACAATGGGCGGACGGGAAGTGGTTACTTCTAACTTTGCACTTGTTTAGTAAATTGCAAGTTTCAGTTCCTCTCAAACTGATTATTCGGCTGATTACTAATCCTGTTATAATACAATTACTGTATCTACTGAGTGGAGCAGAAGAGAGCTCAAAAACACGTTGCTCACTTGCTCATTCTGAGTTTCATCAGTTCAACAGAAATGGATCACGTTATACAGATAACTACGGTACTTTCTTTATAGCGGCAGCACAGGCCATATGGAAAAGCACTTCAATTTACAATAGAGAGTTACCATTACTAACATATAGGATATTAACCGTTTCAATACCGTGCAATTTTACACCTTTCTGCCCAGGCCATTTTTCAGGTTTCAGCGCTCTCACACTTTGAATGACAATTGCGCGGTCATACAACACTGTACCCAAACTAAAATTTTATCATTTTCTTCACACACAACTAGAGCTTTCTTTTGGTGGTATTTAATCACCGCTGGGGTTTTTATTTTTTGCTAAATTAACAAAAAAAGACCAAAAATTTTGAAAAAAAAACACATTTTTCTTTGTTTCTGTTATAAATGTTTACAAATAAATAATTGTTCTTCATAAATTTAGGCCAAGATGTATTCTGCTACATGTCTTTGGTGAAAATAACCCAAATTAGGATGTATTTTTTAGTTTGTAGGAAAGTTATAGAGTTCACAAACTATGGTATAGATCTGAATATTGATCAATCCTGAAGTACTGACAGCCAATCTAATTTCTTGAGGTCTAAGAATGTCAGAACAGTACAGATATCCCCTCAAATTACCCCTTTTTGCAGAGTAGACAGTCCGACGTACTTCATAAGAGGAATGGCGAGTTTTTTGAAGTTGTATTTTTTTTGTCATAATTTTTCGGAAAATGAAAAAATTAAAAAAATTATTTTCACTATTTTTTTTTTACATACTGTCACCAGTGCAGTACAGCGTCATCATATAACTGGCATGGTGGTGAACAGGGACACTGACTGGTGACCATATGAAAAAAAAAAATATATATATATTTTTTTTAATTTTTTTTAATTTTTTATTATATTTAATTTTTTTATTACATTTTTTTTTATTTTTTTTAAGATTTTTTTTTCATATTTTACTATGACCAAAGTAGTACAATGTTACCATAGTAACATTGTACTACTTTGGGGAAGTGATCAGTATTTTTTTTTTTTTTTTTTTTTTACACAATTTGCTTATAGCAAAGAATTACTTTGCTATAAGCAAGCATTTACCTGAATGAAATCGATTCATTCAGCTTTTTTTTTTTTGTGCTGAGCTGTGATTTGGTCACAGCTAATCACATGACATGTGCATGTGATTAGCTGTGACCATTCACAGCTAGGCACTAGTATACAATGGATGGCATCATGAATGAAGCCATCCATTGTATACAACTGTCATGTGACCTGCTGTGATTGGTCACAGCAGGTCACATGGTACCAGCAACGGGAGCCGGTACTCGGATCTGTCATCGGCCGTGTCCGAGGTGCACGGCCGGTGACAGATCGCACTGCTGCGCCGCTCTGCATTAGCGCAAACTGCGCATGTGCGGGAGCACGCCAAATGGCGTGCACCCGGAGTGCAGAGACACATTTGAAGCCGCCAAACGGCCATTGGCCGGGCGGCTAATGGTTAAACAGAAAAAGTGAATGTCAGAACAAACTCAAAACTGAACAAAGATAGCATAAACAAAGTGTGACTAACCTGTATCAAGAGCAGAGCACAAAAACACATATTGCTTATTTGCTCATTCCGGGTTTAACATGTTACTAAACTCAGGATTCACTATATCGGGTCTCCCACAGTACACAGAACATGGAAAAACAATTATTTTAGTAAATATGGACTGCTAAATACCGTTTCTCATTAGCAGTTAGAGCAGTCTTGTGACTTCTATCAGTGTCCAGCAGAGCACTGGTTAATCTTGTAGGAGGAGTTTTCATTCTGCTGTAGGAGGATGCAGAACTTCTGACCTCTGTCTGGGCAGTGCTGATTGGCCCTGTGCTAATCACATGCACTCTCCCAAGAACAAAAAAAAACTTCTGTAGCAATATACAGCACATTGAGCATGTGCAGAGTGACTCCACACGATATGTCTTCTCAGGAGATAAGAGGTAGACAGTGAAAGAAGGGGAGAATCAGAGAAGTGAGGATCAAACAGAATTTTTATTCAATGCAGAGGACTAACCCCTTAGGTTCCACAATGAGTATAACAAGCATGCTTTACTGCATATGCAGGCTGATTTTACTGTTGTGGGTTTAACCACTTGCCTACCAGGCACTTATACCCCCTTCCTTACCAGGCCAATTTTCAGCTTTCAGCGCTGCCGCACTTTGATTGACAATTGCGCGGTCATGCAACATTGTACCATTATGAAATTTTGATCATTTTTTTCTCACAAATAGAGCTTTCTTTTGGTGGTATTTAATCGCCACTGGGCGCTTTACTTTTTGCGCTATAAATTAAAAAAGTGCAAAAAATTTGAAAAAAAAAAAAAAAAAGTTTCTTTGTTAATATTATAAAATTTTTCAAACAGGCAATTTTTCTCCTTCACTGATGTGCGTTGATGAGGCAGCACTGATGGGCACTGATAGGCGGCAATGATGGGCACTGATAGGCAGCACTAAAGGGCACTGATAGGCAGTACTAATGAGGTGGCACGGATAGGCGGCACTGATAGACAGCACTAATTAGGGGTCACGGATAGGCGGCACTGATATGCAGCACTGATAGGCGGCACTCATAGGTGACACTGATGATGGGTACTGATAGATGGCACTGACTGGCATCACTGCTGGGCACTGACTGGCGGCACTGACTGGCACAACCGCTGGGCACTGACTGGTGGCACTGACTGGCAGCACTGCTGGGCTGCACTGGTGGGTGGCACTGGTGGGCATCACTGGTGGGTGGGCACAGGTGGGTGGCACTGATGGGCACAGGTGGGTGGCACTGGTGGGCACAGGTGGGTGGGCACAGGTGGGTGGCACTGCTAGGCACAGGTAGGTGGCACTTCTGGGCACAGGTGTGTGACACTGCAGAGTGGCACAGGTGGGTGCACTGCTGGGCACAGGTGGGTGCACTGCTGGGCACAGGTGGGCGGAGCTAGTGGGCGCACTGCTGGGCACAGGTGGGCGGAACTTGTGGGTGGCACTGCTGGGCACCGATCATCAGGGCACTGATCATCAGTGCCCTGATGATCGGTGCCGATCCTCGCTCTGACAACTGCCGGTTCTCGGCAGTACTTTCCTCACGATCTGACAGCGTGAGGAAAGTGCAGCCGAGAACCGGCACTTGCATTTCCCTGTGATCAGCGTGTCATTGGACACCGCTGATCACGTGGTAAAAGGCCGGTATGATTGGCCTTTTACCACATCTCGTGATCAGCTGTGTCCGTAGGACACAGCGATCACGGAGATCGCCGGGTGCGCGCCCCCTGGGGCGCGCAGGAGAGCGTGTTCTGGGAGGATGTTATATGACGTCCACCCAGAACTGGCCGGCCGCGGTGAAGCCGTCATTCGGCTATGCGCGGTCGGCAAGAGGTTAATAACTGTGTAATGTGAGCTTGTAGGTATTAGTCTCCTGACGTCACACTACAAATTATTAGAGCTCCCTCTAGCTGTAGCCTAGTAATAGCATTATAGCAGGAGAGCGCGAACTGGCCGGCCGCAGTGAAGCCGTCATTCGGCTATCTGCGGTCGGCAACTAGTTAAGGAATAGTCCTTGTTTGTTAAATTTAACTCAGAATGGCTAATGAATCGTATTTAGGAAACGGAAGGTGTAATTTTGTAAAATGTGCTGTCAGTACCTCCTTAGTATGCATATTTGAGGAAAGAAAATGCCTTCTGTTTGTTTTTTAAAATAATAAATTAAAGTGATACTAAACCCAGGACCCTGCATTCACTATATCTGGTCTCCCACAGTACACAGAACATAGAAATGCAATTATTTTAGAAAATATAAACTGCTAAATACATTTTTGTCATCAGCAGTTAGAGCAGTCTTGTGACTTCTATCAGTGTCCAGCAGAGCACATATTAAAGCTTGTAGGAGGAGTTTTCATTTTGCTCTAGGGGGATGCAGGACCCCTCACCTCTGTCTGGACAGTGCTGATTGGCCCTGTGCTAATCGCATGCAATAAAAAAAAAACAAAAATAAAAAACCTCTCTAGCGGATGGTTTGATGCTGTGCACATTTTTTATTGCTGTCTATGACAGAACTGAATTGGTTAGGGATGAAGAGGAGGATTTTTTAAGCCATGTTGCCGGGCTATGTAACTCACCCCTGTGACAAAGACTAAACTCATCGGGCTGTGGTTATTATTATACAGGATTTATATAGCGCCAACAGTTTGCTCAGTGCTTTACAATATTACGGGAGACAATACGGCAACAATACAGTTCAATACAAGAGGGATAGGAGAGCCTGATCCTTGGAGCTTACAATCTAGGAGTGGTTACATGCTAACCGGAAGTGATGTTGGGACTGGAACCGGAAGTGACGTTCAGATCTATTCAGAGTGTTCCAGAGGATTTACTGCTTAGACTCTACTTCACGCCATTTTTATTGATGAGCTTGTTTTATATTTTAATATGTGAGTGGCTTTTTTTATAAATAAAAGGATGTGATTTGATGTACCATACCATTGGAGGTGTTTCTCTTTCTTCCACAAGTTTATGGTCATTGATGTGCCGAGGAGAGGAGTAGTGAGCTTTTTGAGTTTCCGAGGCAGAGCTGAGATTCCATTATAAGTGCATTATGCCAGTCATGAGAGTGGGTGGCATTTTAGTCTGGTGAGTGATGTCCTGAAGGGAAAGGGACTGCACAAGCACTTGGTGGTGGAATGTCTCTTCTATGAGAAGGAAGTGGATTACATTTTTCTCCTATTTTGAACTTCTTTATGGACACATTATTTTATGAACGTTTTGTGATTTATGATTTTAATTTGCTCTGCTTTGAAATATTATTGGTATATAGCATTTATTTGCACTATTTGTTCCCCTATTTTATTTGGTTAAAAAAAATTAATAGTAATTTTAAAGCTCTTCCTGCATTGCGTTTGTTCACATATAGAAAGCACAAGGGAAATGTATCTAAGCTAGAGCCAATATCTGAGACGGCATCCAATCAGTTTCTATCGTTGATTTTCAAAGCTTAAAGCAGCATTAAACCCAAAAACCAAAAACGTATTATATTGCAGCTTACCAATCATTAGATGTGATGGCTGCCTCAGTTTTCTTTTCTTTGGCTTTTTCCCTCTGTTTTCACTTTGTGATCTGGCAAGTAACATAGCTCCTATATTAAATGAGACACCACTCTGGAGGAATGAGCACAGGGCACAGCAGAGAGCAGCATTGTCAGTCTGGGGGGAATGGGAGTGTTAAATGTATTAGCAGATTTGAATGCAAATAACAAATTGATAAAAAACCAAACTCCATTTTACACTTTATAATTTGTTGCAGCAAACAGTGTTTTTCTTTTAGGATAAGGTTTTACATGAATAAATAAAAGCTGATTATTTTAATCACCCATGCCAGTGGTAAATGAATGGTCTCATCCATGTAAGCTGACACATGCTGCTGGACAGCTTCAGCTTTTGAAAGACAGCAGAGTTTGTGGCCGAATCACCAGATAGAAGAAAGAAATCCAAAAAATAGAAACTTAGGCTGGCCATACATTATACAATTCTCTTGAGATTTTTGGTTTAGATTTACCAAAAACCATATAATAGGAGGTCAAACCTAACAACACTTTCAATTGTATCCAATTAGGTAGGCTCTTGCACTACATAGTTGAAGGTAAATCTAAAGGAAATTGGGCAGAAATTGAACAGAAAATTGAATAGTGTATGGCCAGCCTAATGCAGCCATCACAACTAAGAATTGGTAAGCTGCAATATAATACATGTTTAACTGAGCAAGCTGAAGATGGAAGCTAATTGGTTGCCATGCACTGCTGCTTGAGATTCCAGATATGGAGCAGCTACCATAGGTGTTTCTTTAGAACTCAATCAGTACTTTCTAAACTATTCTTGTACTTTATTTAAAGAAAATGTTCAAGATATTAGAATACTGCCACATATAGTTGTCAGATCAAAGGTTCAGGTTAATATTTTTATTATCTGTTCCTCACTATAGATTTTTGTTTCTTTGTGAAATATTGAAAAAAAATTAAATTGAGAAAGGTTCAAGCAAAGAGTGGCAGACCCCTCCTCTCGTGTGACAGCATTGGTACTTGTTGATTGGCTCAGCTCTGTCACACTGGGGCAGGAATAAAGTCCTCAGCTCTGTGTAAGCTCCAATTACAGCAACATAGAGCTTAAAGAGCAGTTGTAGGCAGAACAGGAGTATGATGCCCAAGTTAAGGAAAAATCCAAGCAAGGTTGAACAGTTACTGTAGTTAGTAAGTTGCAGGCATAAAAGACAACAACAAGGATGTTGACAGACTACAACCACTAGCACTAGTATTATTGCTGTCAATGACTTAGGTAGGACACTTGGAGTAACAGTTCCAGCTACACTTATAGTAGCAGGTTCAGTAACACTTGCAGTAACAGACTCAGCAAACATGGAAGTAACAGGCTCAGTAACACTTGTAGTAACTAACACTTGTAGTAACTAACACTTGTAGTAACTGCTCCAACAGTCTCTAGTCCAGGGAGGAGAAGGCAACATTGCTGGACCTACTAGCACCATAGAATAGCAGCCCTTGAACACAGGTATGCAGTGGTATGTATTCAGCACAGTACAGGCAAGGCCTTCATTCCTGGGGCAGCATTGGCAGGAGGGGTGGCTTACTGTCAGGTTAACTGACACAGGTAGTAGCACTTTGGGCTCGGGATAGGTAGCGGCAGCAGCTCTGGCAGACTGGAGAAGGTAGGGGCACCAGCTTTGGACATCAGTGCTATGTGATGCGTGCAGTGGTATCTCCTATTCTTTTGCTCCTCACACTAGCACCTCTTCATAATGCTAATTCTCTGTCCCTGTCAGACAGGGTTCCATTCCCTACACTATGCACTTGCCAAACTGAGCAGATCATGGCTATTTATAAGCACTGCCTCAATCAAGATGGCTGCAGAAGGTCACTGAGGTTTGCAGAATCCAATAGGATAGCTGCTTCCCAGGTGACACCTATGGAAGATGCAGAGGAACATCATCCCCCTAAGACTCCACTCCATCCCTCAGGTGGTAAGGTGCCACCTGCTGGATGGAATAGAAACTACACCCACCAACACTGGTAAAGGAAAAACTGTTACTGTACCCTGTTTGGGAAAACCACATGTTTGCTTTAAAGCAGAACTCCAAGCAAAGGATAAAACAATTAAAATCTCCCTCACACCCCTATTCTAGCTGATATAGGATAATAATACTTGTTTTGTCCAATGGATTATCTGAAACAGAAGGCTACTTACCTTACTCAAAGAGCTGTCAGTTCTTTTCTCCACTTTCAGTTCCAGAATGCAGGCGTTGACATCCTCACATACAATGCAGGACCAGTGGTGGTCAATGCTTCGGCATTGTTCATGATGATGTTGGAGGCCGGCAAGAAGAGTAACTTCACAACTGGTACCATTGAGGGAAAAAAACTGTGGGACCATGGAGTAAGGAAAGTAATCCTCTCTTTTAGATCATCTCTAAACAAAATAAACGTTATATTCTGAATCAACTGGAGAGGGGGTTTTATTTATTTTATCTCTTTTCTGGAGTTAGGCTTTCCAACGTGCTTGTATGTGTGTCCAAATGTCAGGCACCTTCTCTGCCCTAAGTTATTTCCTATGTGGCCAAAAAATTCTAACCTTGAGACAACTACTTAAAAATGTTCCTGGTCAAAATTATCACAAAAAGTAGTTATTATTTAAGGTGTAGCAGTTAACAGAATACACCGGAGAAGGTGGAGCATTTACATACAAGCTGCACCTACTTTACCAAGTACATACTTGTGTTTGACAGTAGCTAAATGTTTTAACCAGTTTTACCAACCAATCCATATATTGCAGCTGGTACATAAATATTCCACCTTAATGTAATCTTGCTCAGTTTCATGTTAGATTTCTACTTCTTCATTGTCTTTAATTCTCTCACACACAGTATCTAACCAGCTTCCTTTTCATTCAGGCACTTTATTTCAAACAGGTGACCTGCTTTTTTCAGTCCACAATGTTCTCTTTTCCATTCCCACGAATTCCTTTGGAGAGGTTTACACAAAATTTGCATTCATTCCTTGGTCATCCAAGACTGTTATATTGTCCAAACCCCCAAGGATTTTCTTTCTTTACATGTTTTTCCTTCTTTCTTTTGTTT